GCCCAGCCCGCCGCCTCCAATCGCTTCGGCTCTCGCCGGCCACCACCCCCGACCCCGGCTCAGCCTCCTTTCCGGGCCGCGCCGCGCCGCTGCGCGGGAGACCGTGGGAATTCGGAGATGGGTCCCGCTCCTTTCTGATGTGGGCTTGTAAGCTCGGCTCCCGGCGTGGGTTCGCGGCGAGGGCGCTGCCAAGCGGGTGCTGAAGAGGGCCGGGCAGTGGGGAGGGGACAGGGCGTGGAGAGAAAAGTGCCCGGGTGACAGCGCGCAGGGCGGTCGGAAGGGTCGTTATCTGCGTGTTGGGTCCTTACCATCTCTCCCCAGGCCTCTTCCCCACAAACTGTATCACACTTTCTACCGTGCCCGCCCCCCCCACGCAGCTGCATTCGAATGCAAGGAACCACATCCACCAAAATCATTTAAAAGCGACTGACATCTTCCTTCCCTGACCGAAGTAGCAGGAAGGGGAAGGGTGACATGGCAGGGAGTGAGGGAGGGAAGAGGGAAGAAGGAAGGGTGCAAAATTAGCTGCTTTTCTGAAATCAGAATGGAAACCCAAAAACAACAACAAGAAAAATCCAGGAAACACGTTGTCTCCCAGACTCCATCCATGCCAATATTATTTGTTAAGAAAATTTACCATAAAACGCATGTCTCCGTAGGTAGTTTCTATGCCAGTATTACTGAACCCAATAGATTGGAAGCATAGCTTTTAGAACAGTGAGACCAAAGACAGGTCCAAAGGGGATGGTTTAGAACTGGACTCATCCAGCAGCTCAGTCACTAGGAGTCTCCACTTGAGACAAGACTCAAGGTTAGCTTTGCCTGCTTCCTCTTCTGTCCTGCCCGCCCCTGCTGCCCTCCCCATGACAGTAAATAAGCCCCCCCCCCAGCCGCGCGCGCGCGTGCGCGCGCGCACACACAACAAAATAAATCCTGCAAGAAGGAGGTAACTTCACAGTTTCCCCTGACTCATGGGTCAATTAGGGGCAGGTTGCCGTGAACAAACTTGGTATGTGTGGCTCCTCACACACGCACTGATCTAGTTGGCAGCTTGGTGCCAGAGAGGGGAAGCTGGACATCAGGGAACAGAGCCTTAGAGTCAGGGCTGGAGTGGTGTGTCCTGGTCCTCCACACCCCAAGATGCTGTAGCTAGGTTGCTGTTCCCAGGGAGGGTCCCTGGGCAGATGACCAGTGTCCCTTAGCTATTCCATACTAGCTCATCCATTGTAACAGACCTATGGAGGCTCAGGGGTCTTGCTCACTATGCCATCTTGCTCTCAATGAGCAGGGCTGACTTCTGCTAGGTTTGCCTCCTTCCTTCAGCATAGTGGTTACATGTGGGGCTGCTAGCCCCAAGGTCAACAGTTCAAAACCACTGGGAGAAAGATGAGCGATTCTACTCCCTTAAAGAGTCTTAGAAACATACAGGGATGGTTCTGCTCAGTCTTATAAGGTCGCTACAGGTTGACATTGACTTGATGGCTGTGAGTTCTTCTTTCTTTAAGGAGCCCCATGGTGGCAGCATTTCGAACCCACCCGCCAGTCTTCTGAAGAAAGATGAGGGTGTCTGTTCCCTTAAAGAGGTCAAGCCTCAGACATCCACAGGAGCAGTTCTGCTCTGCCTTATAGGGTCTCTCTGCTAGCAGTGAGTCTTTGCGGATTCCTTCGTGCCCCTGGCTTGAATGGCACACCACTCCACGTGAGACCTGTTTGCTGACTGACCAAATGCCACTCTCCACCCACTCAAAGGCCCGGTACAGATCAGAGGGAGCTGGGTCACCCTGTCACTGGCTCACCCAGTGTTTTTAGGGAAGGTAGACTCTTTTAGGGTGGAGCCCGGCACTTGACAATACACTTTTTTTGTGACAGTGACCAATTGGTGGCATTTTCCCCCACTGAAATTAAGGGCAAAGAATGAAGGAGGAGGGGCTGAGGCAGGGAGCAAAAGAAACAGCCAAGTGGCAAGTATAGAAAGAAAAAGAAATTGTGAAACTATCCTGGGCAGTGCTGCCTGACACAGTGATGGGATTTTGGGTTGGAGCAATATTGAATTAAAGCATTGAAAAGGCGGTGCCATATCATCACATGTGTAACTCTGATAAGGATGTCACTGATCTTAGGGGACCTGTGAATCCACTTATTTTTCGGGGGATCTGAAGGGCCCAGCCATCATTAGAATCGTCCTAGGGACTCCAGTTCATAAGTATAACCTACCACTTCCTCACATTACTGGAATCTACTCTGGCCAGATGTTCTGCTGATAAATGGTAGGTATGGCCTTCCCATTTGGGGGTTGATGCTGTGGAAGCATCTGATAGGCATGCATAGCCCCTTTAGGCATCCCTGACATTCTATCTCTGAACTGTCTATACTTCGAGTGCTGCTTCCGTATTCTTGGGCATCATATACATGTTGTTCCAAAATGTGTTATATAATTGAAGATGCACATATAGATTTTTGATCTGATGCCCATGATGTCATTTGTAAATCGAACAGCACCCCCCCTCCCTGCGCCACCTGCTTTTTAAACTCAACCTGGGGCTGAGGAGGCCTTCAGACACCAACATTTCTAGGAGATCTATATATGTTTGTTTTCTTTCCCTCCATTCCTGCATCAAAGATCTTTGTAGACTAGAGTTAGGGGTTAGACATTACCAAGATGTAGACTCCTAATCTTTCTGTATAGGGCATCTTACGTTGTGATAGGGGACTTCTTACATTTAGACAATGATTAGCTCTTGATGAAACCCCAAAACAAAAACCAAATTTACTGCCACAAAGTCGTTGTATAGCCTCATCGTGAACCTATAGGACTGAGTGGAACTACTCAATAGGGTTTCCAAGGCGACTAATCTTGATGGAAGCAGATGGCCTCATCGTTCTCCTGTGGAGGGACAGGTGGGTTCGAACCACTGACCTTTTGGTGATTTAACGACTGCACTCTCAGGGCTGGTAAAATGACCATGCCTCCTTTGACTTTCATCACACTAAATTCACTCCATGTCCCTAACCTATTTCTGAAACCTGTTCTGGGCACCGTCACTTCCAGGAGGTCCTTAGCATTTATCCCTATTCCTTTAAATTCTTCAAAGGAACTCTGTCCCCCCTTTTAATCACTTTAACATCCCGTCCTTATATTAGTCATTCCGTCTGCATCTTTCTGTTGCTAAGGCCTCCCTTAGGATCCCAACAATAGAAAAAGAACAAAGAAACCAGAAAGTTGCTGGTGCGTGATGCTCACTCGGGGCGACCTCAGGTTGGTCCAAGTAGAACTGCCTCATAGCATTTTTATCCATGTGACCTTTTAGAAACCAATGGCCAGGCCTTTCTTCCGAGGCTTCTCTGGATGTGTTTGGACCACGAGTCTTTGGTGACTAGTTGAGCACAGAGCTGTTTGCACCACCTAGGAACTCTTCAAGGATGATGGTGCCCTGTAACCCAGGGATACAATGATAAGAGCTGAACGGAGTAGAGATCTAGCACCTCCTTTGAATGACAGGTGATACAGTGGTTAGAATGGTTGACTGCTAAACAAAGGGCCAACATTTGAACCCACCAGTTGCGCCCCAGGAGAAAGATGGTGGGCCCAGTGTTTAATGGCTACAGCCTTGGAAACCCTGTTTCCAAGGGAGCAGGTCTACCCTGTCCTATGAGTTGGAATTGACTTGATGGCAATGGGTTTTTTTGTTTTTTGCTTTTTACAAATGGTATGATTCAATGTTACTTATAAGAAATAAAAAGAAATTCCTCGGTGACGGAATGATTAGAGTCAGCTGCAACTAAAAGGTTGTCAGTTAAAATCCAACCAGAGGCATTTTGGAAGATTGGCCTGATGTTCTGTTTCTGAAAGGTGACAGCCGTGTAAATTCTATGGAACAATTCTTCTCTATTCACATGGGATCACCAAGAGGCAGAATGGACGGCATAGGCAAAATCATGTTGCTGCTGTGTGGTCCGTTTTGTGGTTTTCCTCCTCTTTCTATACCTGCAACTTCGGCTTTTCCCCTTAGCCCCCCTATCTCTCCTTCCTCCTCTCTTTAATTTCAAGGCTTCCTCATTTCCAGGCTTTTGAAATTTTTTTCCCCTTGAGTCTAACTTGGTGAACACCTTTTGTCTTTAATCTCTTTTTCTATTAGATGGAAGCCAGCATATATATGCTGGGCAGGCAGCCCCGACATTGAAGGGGCAGCCACATACAGGGGCTCCTTTTGCTAAAGAACCATGAATTTCTTTTGCCACCTTTTCATGAGAATTTTACAAGGAGAATCCGAATTCAAAGTTAGCCAGTGCACCTGGCTGTGAAGACCGTAATCCGAATTCAAAGTTAGCCAGTGCACCTGGCCCTGAAGACCGGCGCTTGTTGATTTGTGTCCTTTGTTTGACACCTCCCCAATTGCCTGCACATGTTTTTCATTCACTCGTTGCCCACACCGCATGGAGAAACAGGCAGGAGGAAGGAGCCAGGGAAAAGAGCCGGGCTTGCTTTGCGAACTAGATGGCGTGGTTGTTTATATTAAATTCCAAGAATCCTTCCTGCCACCAAAGCACCCATCTGCCTTGACTTCTTGGTGTTCTTGACCATTTGTTTTTGTTTGCCTTTATGGTGATAGGACGGACATCTGCCTTGACCCCAGCGCCTGCTTCCCTGATCTGCAATGCTTTCCTTTCCCTGGGGCTTCTCAGATGCCAGGAGCTTACGGTGCTGGTGTTCCTGTGCAGAGGGGCCAGGCTCACTTTGGGATTGAGTAACATGGACGCCCCCCACCCCCCACCCCCACACACACAGGAAACCAGATGCTTTGGATGGACTTGGGCCTGGTGGAAGATTTGTGGCTGCTTTCTGGGTCCAGCGATGGCAGTTAGATGTGTCAGGCCCAGAAAGAATGGTGCAGGAGGCAAAAGGTGGGTTTTTAATTTTTTAAATGCTTCCTCTCAATGTTTAGCTGTGCATTTCAACATCTTAGAACTCTTCTCATGCAAACGGATCTGTGTTCGCATCTGCTAATGAAGAGCATCATTCATTGGTGCCCAGGACGGAGATGAGGGCTGAGCTTCCTTTGTCAGCAGGATCTTCTGCAATGGCCTGCTTTCTCTTTTCCTCTGTGATGGTGTTGGGTCCAGCCACAGAGCCCAAGCCAAGTCTATCTTCCCTGAATTGTGTGGATTTGTTGGATTTCCCATTTGTTTTCATGCAGCACAAGGCCATAGCAGCATGACAGATCAGATTGAGTTACCTTGTGATATGTATTCCCAGGAGCATGGTCCCAGGGATTTTCCTTTGACAAACTCTACAGCAGCCATTCCCCACCCACCCCACCCCCTTTAAAAAATGGTCTTAGTGTTATGAATACGTATATCACAAAACCTTTTCCAATTCAACATTTTTACATGACAAGTCAGTGCCTTTGATTATGTCCCTCATGTTGTTGGTGTAGTGGGTTCAAGTTGGGCTGCTGACAGCAAGGTCAGCAGTTTGAAACCACCAGATGCTGCTCTGGAGGAAGATGAGGCTTTCTACTCCTTTAAAAACTTAGTCTTGGAAACCCACAGGGACAGTTCTACCCTGTGTTATAGGGTTGCTACGAGTCAGAATTGACTGGATGGCAGTGAGTTTGGGTATTTTTTGGATCCTGTTGTTAGTCATCACAACTGTTCGCTTCCTAATGATCCCATTCCCTTGAACAGAAACTCTGCCCCCTGAGCAAGGACTCTCCTTTCTTCCCTTCCTTTCCTGGGAACCATTAATGATATCTGTCCATCTCATTTAAGTGACCTCTTACAACATGTATTCTTGTGGGACTGACTTATTTCATTCAAAATGTCTTCAAGGTTCACCCATGTGGTAGCATGTGTCAGGAATTCATCTTCATGGCAGAGTAGGGATCTATTGTATGTATGTACCATCTTGGGTTAACTCATTCCTCTCTTGATCAAAATTTAGATTATTGCTTCTTGGCTATTGTGAACGGTGCTGCAATGAAATTATTGATTCTTTTTTTTTTTTT